GCCCCGCCCCGCCCCCCACTGACCCCGCCCTGTTCTCGCTCTGCAGATCGACGCTGCGTCCCTGGTCGCAGCCTCGGTGATGGCCGCCCCCTGTGCCCTGGCCCTGTCCAAGCTGGTCTACCCCGAGGTGGAGGAGTCCAAGTTCAAGAGTGAGGAGGGAGTGAAGCTCTCCTACGGGTGAGCACCGCGGCGGGGTGGGGGCCCCGCCCCCTCAAAAACGCGTGGGGGGCCGGGCCGGGCACGGGAGCTGCGGGAGGCGATTCAGTAAGTGCAAAGGCGGGTGACGGGGGCACCTCAGGAGGGGGGGACACCTCAGGAGGCGGGGACACCTGGGGGGGCTCCTCAGGAGGCGGGGCGCCGCGGAGTGGCCTCTCGGGCGGGTCCACGTGAAGACCTCTCCCGGCCCTGGGCCCCGCGAGCCCCCGGGACACCCAGACACCCTGCACACCCCGCGGCCCCCTGGACATCCTGGGACATGCTGGACGCTCCGGGACCCCCAGACCTCCCGGACACCCCGGCCCCCGGGACACCCCAGATACCCCAGACACCCCGCGGCCCCCGACTCCCGGGCCTCGCACCCCTGCTCGCGCCACGCCGCCAAGCCCCGCGCCCGTCCGCCACAGAGACGCCCAGAACGTCCTGGAGGCGGCCAGCACCGGGGCGGCCGTCTCCGTGAAGGTCGTGGCCAACATCGCGGCCAACCTCATCGCCTTCCTGGCCGTGCTGGCCTTCATCAACGCCGCCCTCGCCTGGCTGGGGGACATGGTGGACGTCCAGGGGCTCAGCTTCCAGGTCCGGCGCGGGCCCTCGCGGCAGGGGGGTGCGGGCCGGCCTGGGCAGCTCGGGGCCAGCGGCCTTCTCGCTGCTGCCAGCTCCTGTGCTCCTACGTCCTGCGGCCCGTGGCCTTCCTGATGGGCGTGGCCTGGGAGGACTGCCCGGTGGTGGCCGAGCTGCTGGGCATCAAGCTGTTCCTGAACGAGTTCGTGGCCTACCAGGAGCTCTCGCAGTACAAGCAGCGCCGGCTGGCGGGGGCCGAGGAGTGGGCGGCCGGCCGCAAGCAGTGGATCTCCGTGAGTGCCCCGACGCCCGCCCGGGGAGACCGGCG